CCACGAGCCCGGGAGGCGCGACGGCGGTATGACGGGTACAGGCGCCGCTGGCGTGGGCACGACGCCGGGAGGCGCGGCCGGCGCGGTGCGTGCTGGCGCTTGCAGTGCTGCAGGCTGTGTGAGTGATACTGGCGCGATTGCTGGCGCAGGGGGCTGGGCAGCGACTGCCGGCACCGCGGGCGCGGCCTCCGCCGCAGGGGGGAGAGCGTGGGCGGTGCCGGGCTCGGTTTTAACCTCCGCGGCGTTAGTGGGCGGCGCGGTCTCCATCTTCGAGCGAGGCACAAACGGGAGCCGGAGTAGGGATGTGTTCGACCATGTGTTTTATTTTTGCTTGATGCGGAACAATTGACCGGGACCTGTACCGCGTTGGTGTCCAGTCCGAGCCTGGCTGTCTTCACCTTTCTACCTAACCTAACCAAAAGGGGTGGTAGGGTAGGTCTGGGCCCTCCCGTCGGGGTTTTCCCTCTCTCCACCCGGAATTTTCACAGCAGAAAAAGAAATTTTCCGCAAATCACGATCTCCCCATCTGTGTTCGTGTTCGGAGGAAATGACAAGGGAGAGAACGACGAGAGTGGGACGACCGCGAGGTGGCATGAAGGTTGCAGCGAGAATCGGAGAGAGACTGCGAAGAGAGATAGGAAGAGGCAGACTCCCTAGGGTGGGCGACGGCTAGCGCACCACACACCTCTCCTTAAAATCCCTGTGTGGTGGCGGCGTGCCGTCCTCCCATCCCTCCCTTGGGTTGTCTGTTTTCTTTCTTTCTTTCTTTTATCTGTGTTCGTGTGCGTCGCCCATCTCTCCCTGGAGATGACTGCTCTATTTATTTATTTATGTGTTGGTTTTCTTTCTTTCTTTACCCTCCCCAACTCAGACGCTCTTTTTTTGCATTTTTATTTTTTGTGCCAGCCTGGCAGCTCGCATCGCCGCGTTCACGCTGCGGGTCGATGGGCTGCCTCTGCTCCAACCCGCTCCTGTGCCCCGCCGCCGACCCGCATCCGGACACGCCGAGGCAGCCGTTCCTGCCCGGCCTCGGCCCCATGCAGCGGAAGATCGACCCGCTGCGGCTGATGGTGCAGTGGTATGTGCACGCCGTCATCCCGACGTACCCCGAGGTTGGCGCGTACAACGAGACCGAGCGCTACGACTGGGACGCCGCCCGGAGGCGCTTCACCGTCACGTTCGAGTTCAACAGCGGCTCGTTCGACGGCCCGCTGCGCGCGGTGCCGCAGGTCGGGTGGTTCGACGCGGACGACAGCTTCGGCACCCTGTGGCGCGTCTCGCCGACGCTCTGCGGCTGCGCGCTGCCCGTCAAGTTCCCCTACTACATCCTCGACGTGCCGGACGACTACAGCCACATGATCGTGGGCTCCAACGTCGGCAGCAGCTCCTACCTGTGGATCATGACGCGGGCGCCGCGGGTCGAGCCGGCCAGGCTCGAGGCGATGATCGACACGGCGTGCACCTTCGGCTTCTTGCGCGACGCGATCCGCAAGCGCGAGCACGACCGGCCAGTCCCCGCTCTAGAGTAGTCAATCCTCGAAGCGTCCAAGTCAGTATAGATAGACGCTCGCGCAAGCGATTCGCGCGCGCGCGACTTTATGTTCGGTCTCAATCTCACTCTCTAGTCTGTTTTGTGCGTTTTTGTACTGTGAGTGTGTGAGGCACGCGGTCCGGTTATGTTTGCATGTGCTCTACCCACTGCCGTGCGCAAAAACGCGACTTGAGGCCCCGCCCGAGCGCCCCGGTTAGGGTGCCCACAGGACCCAAAAGAAAATAGCTTTCCGCCTCAAAAAGGGACGCACGAGGCAAATCTGATGTTGGAGTGTTCCAATAGGAGCGAGGCCTCTTCCGTTGACCGAGCACATAGGAAACGAGGGTTTCCCATTGTGACCCGCTCCAGTGCGAGCGTGACACTGCACTTGGCGCCGAGCGCCCGCGGCTCAGACCTTGTGCAAGCCACCCCTCGGTGGGCACGCCGGTCCGGACCGATGGCGCTCGGTGTGGAGCAAGCAAGACCCCCCCCCCCCCCCTCGGCGCGCGCTCGCCATTCCAACGGCCGCCAGGAGCACCAAGAGGACTCCTCATGGCTGTGCCCAAGTGGGCTTCGACCGGCCTCGGCTGGGGGGGCGGGTTGTCCCGGCTGCGGACGCGTTCTGCAGCCCCCTGGGCGTGGGTCAGCACCCCAAAACTGCCCCTCGGCGGCATACAGCACTGCCAGCCAGCCTCTTCCTCCTCCTCAAGGGCTGTACTATAGGCCATATTGCGCCGCCTCCTACTGGCAGCCGGGCGGGCGCGCGCCGCGGGCGCCTCGGCGCGCGCACGGCTCGCAAAGTTCGAACGAGTACTGCCGCCCGGCCGCCTCAAGGCTGCCGGACGGCAGTACTCGCCTCGCAAGGCGCGTACCGGCTGCTCTGGCTGCTGCGCCGGCGGCCGCTGCGCTGGCCGCTGCTGCGCCGGGTGGCGGGCGGTACGGCCGCCGGCGGCCGCTGCACCCGCGCCTTCCCTCGCGGGCGCCGTCGCGCCGCGCGCGCCCAACTCTGCTGGTACACGGCACGCGTCGTCACTCAGCCGCGGAGAACAGGCGGTGCTGTGCGTGAAGCGCGCGCGATCTCGTACTTTTAAGGCTGGATCCGGCCATTCCAAGGGTATACCTTTGAGAATCCCCAGCGTCCCTCCCTCCTAGTCACACTCTCAATATCTCGACTCTCCAACACGAAGTGCTGCGATCGGGGGTGGCCCATTTCTTTTTTCTTTTCTTTTTTGGGTCCTGTGGGCACCCTACCCCGGTGCCCGGAGACGGATACAGTTTCGTGGAGCTGGGGAGGTGCGGAGAGAGCCTGCCCGCGCCGTCGGCGCACCTGGAGCGTGGAGGCTGGAGCGGAGCGCGCACTCTGCCGACGGACTCACGACACCGTCGCCGAGCGAGACACACACAGGCTCTATTTTAGCACTCAGGCACAGGCTCTCTCTCAAAAAAAAGACGATTGCACGCATGCACGGACAAATGAGAAATCGGCAATCGGCATCTAACAATCGATCTAACACAGCTCTATCATACTTGATACTTCGCTCCACTTCCACTTCGGCTTCTCATAACATGATACGCGGCTTCACCTCGTGTGTGTGTGGAGAAGTTTACCTTTACCTTACCTTACCTTACCTCACTCCTCTCAATCTCTAAGAGAGGATGCCGCAGGTGAGCAGCGTGTCTTGGTTCTCGGTGTCGAGCCGCGCGTCGAGCTGTGCCGTGAGCGACGTGCCGCGCGTCCCCCACCCGGAGAGGACGGCGCGCAGCGAGCCCAGGTCGCCCACCGCCAGATCGGGCAGCAGGGTTGGGTGGTGGGCGCCGCTCATGCCGCCAGAAAGAACAAAAATTAAATGCTCGCGTGTGTGTGTGTGTGTGTGTGTGTGTGTGTGTGTGTGTGTGTGTGTGTGTGTGTGTGTGTGTGTGTGTGTGTGTGTGTGTGTGTGTGTGTGTGTGTGTGTGTGTGTGTGTGTGTGTGTGTGTGTGTGTGTGTGTGTGTGTGTGTGTGTGTGTGTGTACTCGCGGGGGGGGGGTCACTCATGGCGCCAGAAAGAAGAAAACGCCTTGGCTTTTATTTATTTTTAAGGCCTGCTCAGCGACACGGCCTGCCAAGCCCGCCGAGGCGCGTGACCGCCTCTACGCGGGGACCCGTGCGAGCCCGCCGCCCCCCATGTACGGCAGGTCGAGCGTCTCGACGCGGCCCGGCGCGGAGAAGAAGCCGCGCCCGCTTCGCCGCGAGAGCTTGGCGTGGGCGCGCTGCCAGGCGCGGCTCTCGGCCACCAGGGCGCCGCTCCCGAGCAAGGTTGGCCGCCGCAGCGCCATGGCTCGGTCGACAGCCCCCGCGGCGTCGCGACGCTGCCGCGGCGGGGCTTGCCCGCGCAGCGGCCCCACGCCGAAGCGCGCCTCCCCCTCCCGCAGGCCGAGGAAGCGCTGCAGCGCGGGCTGCAGCCTCGGGTTGGCGGCGTCGTCAAAGTACGAGTCAAAGGCGCCGGCGCCGCCGCCGCCGGCAGCCTCTGTCGTGGGCAGCGCCCGCTTTGGCGATTGCGACATGAGGCCGGAGGACAGCGCCGCGAGCGCGCCGGCGGCGAGAGCGGGGACGGCGTGGGCGGCGGCGATGGCGGCGGCGGCGAGGGGGGCGGCGATGGCGGCGGCGACGGCGGCGATGATGCTGGTCTTGAGGGCAGCCAGGCCGTTGTCCGCGCACGAGAGCAGCGCCTCCGCCTCGTCCTGCACGTCCTTGCGCATCCCGTCCACCTGGGGACGCGTCGTGGACGCGTCACCGACACCGCCGGGCGGACGGGCAGCGGCAGATGTGTGAGTGGAAGAGAAGCAGGCGTTGTGCATGGAGGCGGGAGGCGGGAGGCGGGCGAGAGGAGATCGTGAGACGACGGAGGCGCGTCTCGGAAGTGCCGCCCACCCAGCGCGAGGTCGAGTCGCAGGCGGCCTTGCAGAGGTAGCAGTTGAGGAGGAGCTGCCGTTGCACGCGGCGTGCGCCCGCAAAGAAGAAGCACCCACTGGTCACGGCGAACGGCGATGGGCCGAGGCACCCGCCGGGAGCCGGCCCGATGCACCCAGTGCCGAACGGCGATGGACCGATCAGCTCCCGCAGCCGCACGGACAGCTGGCCAGTCATGTCCTCTGGTGCGAGGCCGCTCGGACAGCCAAGGGCGTCGTGCAGCTCCTTGAAGTCGCCGAAGCGGCGGCGGACGATGATGGGCGGGCCGCCGGTGCCCTCTCTGCCAAACCGTGTCTCCACCACATACCACGTCTCGCCAGAGGCGTCAACCTCGAAGCCGGTGACTGCGACTCGGCAAGTGTGCGCGTTGTGATAGTGGTCGCCGTCGTGCTTGGCGAGGAGGACCGCGGTAGGTCGCATCGGATGTCGAGTCGAGGACGGTCCGACTACCGCGGTGGTAGCGCCGATTGCCGGTGGCGTGTACAGCACTGGGTGAACGAATTCGCCGCCGCTCGAGCTGCCAACCTCGCAGCCGCTCGTGCCAACATCGTAGCCGCTCGTGCCAACTTCGTAGCCACGCTCGTGCAGCCTGCTCCGCAGCTCTCGGACATGACATCCACACACAAGCACCCGAGAAGGATGGTCGTGGTCGAGACTGAGGTGCCGAAGTGAGAGCCACTACTGGAGGCTTCCTCCGGCCACCGCTCGACTACCCACGCACATGGCCGGTCCTGTGGCTTGCCTGGACTCGCTCAGAAGCCTCAATTCGCGCACACCTTTGCTCTCTGGCTCCCGCGAGTGCGTTCAGGCCACTCAAGCAGGCGACGCCGAGCACCCGCGACGCATCTCGCTGGGGCGCCACCTATCGACCCGACTGATTGGCAGCATCAAAGCCGACCCCATGACGGTCCTTCAGCCCCACGAGGTAGGCAGTTGCGCCCTGATCTCGGTCCAAGACGGCCAACGCCGTGTCCGGCACCTGCTGGCTGCTTCACGGGGATGCCCCCCCCGGACACATGCTGCAGCCCCGAGTGGATGTATTGGTCGTTTGTGGGTCCCCCAAGACTACTCTAGTAGGGGCCGGGCGCTTGAGCGTCGGCGGTACACCTGTGCAGATGTTGCACGGGTGAAAATGGCTCCTCGTACAGGGTAGGAGGCAGGTGGTGGGTTTGAGTGTCGTGAGTGCTTGCAGCCGCGAGTGCAGCACCGTTTGTGACTCCCATGGATGCAGTTGGGTGGGGCACGGTGCTGGGGGGCGGTCCGGTGCGCCACAACAGCCTCCCTGGCTGACCCCCATCGGGTTCGGCACCTCCATCCTGACCGTGGAACCCCAACTTCAACCGGTCATATCTCGGGCAGACTGGCACCTCAGGAGCTCATCCTGGGCGGTTTTGGGAAGTCTTGGGGGTGTACTTGAAGGTGGTGAAAAGAGTTTTGCACGAGATCTTAACCGGGGGGCAGCCTGAGCACCGTGAAAACAGGGGACCACAGCTTATTTTACAACGCTATTGGATGTGAGGCTGCCAACTGCACTCCAAGTGCTCCAAGTGCTCCAAAAGCCTTTCGCACACGCACGATTCACCCGAGAAGAAAAACAAAATGCTTGCTCGGCGAGGGCTTTCTTGCCCGCAACCCGATCCCGATCATGGCCCGCTGGGTGTGCCTCTTAGCCCCCCGGCGCCCCTGGATGTGAGGTTGCCAACTGCACTCCAAGTGCTCCAAGTGCTCCAAAGCTCCCTCGCACGACACTGGGCACGGGACTGGCGCGCGCTGGAAAGATAATCCACCGCAAAACGAATTAGGAGACGCATTTATGTCCTCGGGAAGCCACATCACGGCCTAGCAACAAGAAGGCCCAGACGAGAGACGTGCAGCAGCCCACAGTGGACCATGCACAAACCTCTACCGTCCCGGATTCGCCTCTCTCCACTCTCGGATACGTTGGCAGGGGGCGACTAGGCTCAACGCTCATGGCAGCACAGTCCTGTGCGCCCTTTCGCCCTTCTCATCACGGCCCCGGACCCCACGCCTCGACCTTCTTGGGCAGCAACTGGTCCGACAGGTCCTCTCCGTGGCCAAGGCGGCCGCGATCGCCCTCGCCCCAGGTAAAGACGGCGCCGTGGGCGGTGATGGCGAGGCTGTGCATGCCTCCCGCCGACACAGCGACAACGCACTGATCAGCAAAGGCCTCGACCTTCTTCGGCAGCAGCTGCTCCTGCGCGTCGCCGTGGCCCAACTGGCCCCGGTCTCCATTGCCCCAGCTCCAGGCGGCGCCGTCGGCGGTGAGAGCGAGGTTGTGGAATGCTCCAGCCGACACCGCGACGACGCGCTGGCCAGCCAAGGCCTCGATCTTCTTGGGCAGCAACTGGCGCTGCTCGTCGCCGTGGCCCAGCGTGCCATCTTCTCCTACGCCCCAGCTCCAGACGGCGCCATCGGCGGTGGTGGCGAAGCTGTGCCACCCTCCAGCAGACACAGCGACGACGCACCGGCCAGCAAAGGCCTCGATCTTCTTCGGCTGCCACTGGTCTTCTTGGTCGCCGTGACCCAGCCGGCCAGAGTTTCCCCAGCCCCAGCTCCAGACAGCTCCGTCGGCGGTGATGGCGAGGCTGTGGCTATTTCCAGCGGACAGAGCGACGATGCGCTGGCCAGCAAAGGCCTCGACCTTCTTCGGCAGCAGCTGGCGCTGGTCGTCGCCATGGCCCAGCAGGCCCCCGCCTCCTAACATGCCATAGGCTCCCATGCCCCAGCTCCAGACAGCGCCGTCGGCGGTGACGGCGAGGCTGTGGGCCCAGCCAGCAGACACAGCGACGACGCGCTGGCCATCAAAAGCCCCGATCTTAGTCGGCTGCTGCTGGGCCTGATCGTCGCCGTGGCCCAACCGGCCGTGGCCTCCCCAGCCCCAGCTCCAAACGGCACCGCTGCTGGTGAGGGCGAGGTTGTGGTGTCCTACAGCCGCCACGCTCACGGCGCGCTCGCCTCCCAGCGGGGAGGGAAGGCGGGTCGGCGTATTGAGCCGCGTCACGCCCCAGCCGTGAACGAACCGCCCGTGATCAGCCGAACACGAGCCGCACGACGAGAGCCGCCCCTCGCCGTCGATGAAGACGCTGTGCTGATCGCCTGCCGCCGCCCTCGCCGGCGGGTTGGACTCGCGCAGCAGCGCAGAAAAGCACAGCCACCGCACGGCGCAGCCCTCGCCCTCGGGCTGCGCCGGCAGCTCGAAGCCGCGCTCCTGCGCCCACAAGCGGATGCCCCCCTCCGCGAGGGAGGCGTGGAAGAGCAGCGAGACGGCCGCGACGCGAGCGATGTCGGCCGGGTCGCAGCGAGAGAGGGCGCGCAAGAGGAGGTCCGTGGGGAGGTCGAGGAGGCGGGCGGGCGGCGCCGTGCCTGGCGAGGGAGCAGCGGTGGAGGAGGAGGCGAGGCGGCGAGAGCGGCGGCGCGGCGGGGTGGACATCGCGAGAAAAAGAATTTTACCCCCGCCCGGCGAGCCTGGGGAACTAGCCGGGACAGGCGGAGAAGGGGGTTATTTTTTTCTTCTTGCTCGCGAAACTGTGTCGGGGAGAGCCAAGGGATAGGGCCATAGGGGGCAATTTACAGGGGAGGAGGACAGGGTCCACACCTGCACGAGCAGGATTTTGGAAGGACGATCAGGGGGACAGGTGGGGCTCTCCTGCTCCTGACAAGGGACACGACAGGCTCGCAGCGCGGTGCCTAGTGTCGCGTGAGCGACGGCAAATCAAATGTTTTTTTTGCAAACCTGTGTACGCGCCAAGGACATCGCCCTCGAGAACCTCGAGAAACCTGTGTGTCGGGCCGCCGCCGCTTCCATGCCCAAGAACCCTCGCGTCCTCGCGCTCTTCGACGTGGACGGGACGCTCACGGAGCCGCGAAAGACCGTCTCTCCAGAGACGCTCAGCTTCCTCGCGACGCTGCGCGAAAAGATCGCGATCGGCGTGGTCGGTGGCTCGGACCTGGTGAAGCAAAAGGAGCAGCTCGGTGACTCGCCCTCGCTGTTCGACTGGTGCTTCGCCGAGAACGGGCTGCTCGCGCACAAGGACGGCGTCGTCATTGGCCAGACTTCACTCGTGCAGCATCTAGGCTCCGCGCCGCTCGCACCTGCAGACCTCACACCGCTCCTCACGTGCTGCGCCTTCTCCCGGCTGCCGCAGGGGAAGAGAACCTGAAGCGGCTAATCAACTGGGTGCTCGCCTACTTTGCGCAGCTCGACATCCCGGTCAAGCGAGGCACCTTTGTCGAGTTCCGCCAGGGCGCGCGCCTCATCCCTCGCCGCTGCTGCAGCCGCCCGCCCCCACCGGCCCTCCGCCGCTCATCTCCACACACGTGCACACACGTCTCGGCGACCGCCGCTCGCGACGCGCCTCGCCGCCGCGCCCTGCGAGTGCAGGCATGCTCAACGTGTCGCCCATCGGCCGCAACTGCTCGCGCGAGGAGCGAAACGAGTTTGAAAAGTTCGACCTGGCCAACAAGGTGCGGCCTGTGGCCGAGATCTGGCCGAGATGTGTCCGAGATGTCGCCGAGATGCGGCCGAGATGTCGCCGAGAGGTGTCCGAGATCTCTCCGAGATGCAGCCGAGATCTCTCCGAGATGCAGCCGAGATCTGGCCGCGAGCTAGCCGCGAACTAGCCGCGATGCTGGCCGAGATGTAGTCTCGACCTCGCCGGCAAGGTGCGCGCGCAGAGCGAGAGAGAGACTGTGGCAAGCAAGGGCACACAAACAAGAGGCGGCGGGAGGAGGGCGGCGAGGATGCGGCCGTTCGCGCGGCGTCGGCGTCACGGTTCCGCGTGCTCCCTTCCGCCCATAAATAAAAGAAACCCCTTCGTTGCCAGGTTCGCGAGACGATGGTGGCGAGGATGAAGGAGGAGTTTGCAGACCTGAAGCTCACCTTTTCGATCGGCGGCCAGATCTCGTTTGATGTCTTTCCCGAGGGGTGAGGGGAGAGAGGAGCGGGGAGGAGGGGAGGGGAGAGGAGCGGGGAGGAGGGGAGGGGAGAGGAGCGGGGAGGAGGGGAGGGGAGAGGAGCGGGGAGGAGGGGAGGGGAGAGGAGCGGGGAGGAGGGGAGAGGAGAGAGGAGCGCGGAGGAGGGGAGGGGAGAGGAGCGGGCAGGAGGGCAGGGGAGAGGAGCGGGGAGGAGGCGAGGGGAGAGGAGCGGGGAGGAGGGCAGGGGAGAGGAGCGGGGAGGAGGGGAGGGGAGAGGAGCGGGGAGGAGCGGAGAGGCGAGGGAGAGGCGAGGGAGAGGCGAGGCGAGGTGGAGAGAGGAGCGGAGAGGAGGGAGGAGCGACAGAGGACCTACTCTGGCCCCTCCCCCGCAGGTGGGACAAGACCTTCTGCCTGCAGTACCTCCCTCACGCCGACTTTGACGAGATCCACTTCTTCGGCGACGAGACACTTCCTTGAACCGTCTCGGAACCGTCGCGGAACCGTCGCGGAGCCGTCCTCTGCGTCTCCGCAGGCGACAAGACCTTTGTCGGCGGGAACGACTACGAGATCTTCACCTCGCCGCGCACCGTCGGCGCGCGCGCCGCGGCCCCGAGAGCAACAGCGCCTCTGCCCCCGGACATGTGCACGACATCTCCGTTGGACATGTCCGAGAGTAGGCCACTCCATCGACGACGCCGACCCGATGACGACGCTCAAAAAGCTCTCCACGCTCTTCGACCTGCCCTGCCCGCCCTCCCTCACTCCGCCCGCCGCACACTGACGCGAGGACGAGAGCCAGCGTCCTCCCTCACTTCACTGGTGTGTGTGCGGCCTCGGCGGCTCGGCGCGCATCGCCGAGATCGGCGAGAACCGCGGCGAGCCTGTCCCCCGGCTCCCGCGACGAGTCAAAATATTCTTCATCGCCGTGGTTGGTATCTGTGAACGAGACCGAGTCATGTGTGGTATTGGCTATAGCGAGTAATTTTGGACTATATTCATAATTCAATATTTGCTCTCTCATGCGTGTGTCACATGGGTCTCACATGCCGAACAGCCGACATCGTACGAGCCGCGCGTACACACCAGACGGCAGATCACGCCGCGATGGTGACGAGCTCCACGTAGAAGACCAGCGTGGCGTCGGGAGGGATGACGCCGCCCGCGCCGCGCGAGCCGTACCCGAGATTGGACGGGATCTTGAGCATCCGCTTCTCCCCCACCTTCATGTCGAGCAGCGCCTCGTCCCAGCCCTTGATGACACGGCCGACGCCCACCTCGAACGCGAGCGGCGACCCGCGGTCGTAGCTCGCGTCGAACTTGGCGCCGTTCTCCAGGTAGCCTGCGTAGTGGGCCTTGATCTTCTGGCCGGTGGTCGGCTTGACGCCGTAGCCCTCCTCCACGATCTTGTACTGCAGGCCGGTCGACGTGGTCTCGAAGCCCTTAAAGTCGTCGTCGGTGAAGGCCTCGTAGCGGCGAGCCCACTTGCCGTCGGAGGCTCGGCCCTTCTCGGCATAAGCGGCGGGCGCAGCTGCAACCGCGGCGGCGAGAGGAGCGGCAAAGAGGACGCCGCGGCGAGCGAGCGGTGCCGCAGCAACGCGGAGGGCTGCCGACTGCCGGGCGAATGCTGCGAAGGTGAGCAGTCGGGTGGAGAGGCGTAGCATGGCGGGGAGCGCAATGGTTGTGGGAGTGAGCCTTTTTGCGATACAACCGCGCCGAAGGAGTCGCTCAGCAACTCCCGTGGTGTGTCGTGCGAAAAAGAATCTTACAACAAAACTCCCTCGCACAACACTGGGCACGGGACTGGCGCGCACTGGCACTAACACAGGTACACCACGGGAGCCGCCTAAGCGACTCCTGCGAGGGTGGCGAGGCACTTAGCTCCGTGCACCCGCCCACCCCCGCCACAGGCAAGCTCATTCACGACCTGCTCTGCGACAGACTCAGGGTACAGGGAAACTCGCGAGTTTCCAGAATGGAGCACCAAACACCCTCTGTTTTCCCTGAAAATTTCCGGAAACGCAAAGTGCTGGGGACCCTCTGTTTTCCTTTTTGTTTGCCGGAAAAGCTTGTGCAGGCCAATGGGGTGGGGGGGGGGGGGGGGGGGCCCCCCCCCCGGGTTTCAGGGAGGGGGGGGGGGGGGGGGGCCCCCCCCCCCCTAAAGCCCTAAAGGGGGGGGAAAGGGGGATTTTTGGCCTTCTCCCGAGGGGGGAGCGGGGGAACGGGGGGGGGGGAAAAAATAATTGGGGACCCCCTTTTTGGGGGGGGGGGGGTTTTTAGGAATAGGCCCCCAAAAAAAAAAAAAGGGGGCTCCCCCGGGGGGGGGGGCGTCGCGCAGCCTGAAGCGTCTGAAGGAGGGGGAATGTGTGATGTATGGTCTTCTACGGAGGGAGGAGCGGCGGAGCGGGCGGCGGGGGACGATCGATCGGCGACGCCCTTGTCGTGTGCGGCGGTGCTTTACGGACTAGGCCCTCAATACGAACAAACGTGAGCTCCTCAGGCAGGAGCGGCAAAACGTGATCGATCGAAGAGGAGTCGTGCTGGCTGCGAGAAATCGACTTTTTTTCTTTTTGTTGCCTGTTCTTTGTATCAGAGGAGAAAAGACGAGCACTTGTTGTGTGTTGTGTTGGCTGTTCTTAGTCCGACAAGGGGAAAGACGAGCACCTGTTGGGCGTAGTGTTGTGCGTTGTGCGGTGTGCGGGGGGGGATGCCACACCATTTGTCGTAATCGGCACACCGATGTAACCGCACACCGATGTAATCGGCACACCAATCGCTCGAGGTTGCACGTCACGCTAGGTCGCAGCGCTCTCGCCGTCGCGTGCGGGCGCGGCGGAGCGGGCGGTGGGGGCGCTCGGACGGAGCGGGCTCGGCCCCGCAGGTCCCGCCACCTCGCCCGGCCGCGGAAGAGGCAGGCGCGACGCTGAAGAGGGATTTCGCGTGTGGCATTGTAGGCGTTTGAGGGAGGCGGCCGGCAAGCGCCAGGCGACGCGCCGGCTGCACACCCCGGCCCGGAGCGTCCCGATTGCAGCCTGATGCGTTGCCATCCTAGGCGTCGCGAGGTCGAGCACACCAGAGCCGTGATGACCAACCCGTTGACGTGGGTGGGGCGTGGGGCATCCCTCCTGGCGAGCGGCCGGGCGGCGCAGCGCGCAAGCCGCGGAGTCGACAGGACGTCACAACGCGACGGCCGCGAAGGCAGGGGGGCGGCGACGAGGGAGGCGTGGCCCGTGCCCGTGCTGAGCACGGTGGCGGCGCCGGCCGGGGCCGACGTCGAGCAGCTATACCGTCCGGCGTTGCCGCCCTCGAGGGCGTCGCTGCGCGAGGCGGGGCGCCGGCGCGCGGAGCTCAAGCAGGCGGAGGCCGAGGCTACGCCGTTCGCCCGGAACACCGAGGGGAGGGAGGGCCCCCCTCGGAGGGGGGTGTACAAGCAATCCTCGGAAGAAATATTGCGGCAGCTTGACGTACTAGAAGTCCGTAGTCACAGCACATAGGGCTCGCACCGCGTCCCGCTCCTCACACCTCAGACACCTCTTTTGGTCGTCTCGCTTCGTTCACACGCACACACACGGCACACCCTCTTACGTATGATTGCGCGAGGCACCTTCGCCCCGACGTTCGGGCCCGTCCCAGCGGCAACGCGGCCCGACGGCTGTGCACAGCCTTGAGTTCGTGGCAACCGCCGGAGGGGCATCTCAGGAGACAGTGCCGCTGGCGGCGAGCGCGTCCATCTCCGCCTCGGTGCGCGACATCCCCGACGCCCCCTCGGCCGCGGCGGGCGTCCCTGTCGTCGCGGACGCAGCCTTGCGCCGCGTCACATAGTACACGGGGTGGCCCTCCGGCGCGTCGAGCCAGGCGACGTCCGCCGCGCTCAGCCCTCCCTCGTCCCGCAAGCCCCGGACGCGCTGCAGCGCCTCGCCGAACGACGGGCGGCTCGCCGGGTCGCGCTGCCAGCAGCTCGTCATGAGCTGCGCGATCGGTGCCGGCGTCCCTTGCGGTAGCGGCGGCCGCTGGCCGTTCAGGGCGGTGGATACCGCCGCCTGAAGCGGCGGCCGGTCGGCAAAGGGCAGCTGGTGGCAGAGCAGCTCGTACCAGACCATCGCAAAGCTGTAGACGTCGGCCGCCTTTGAGTACCGCTCGTGCAGCACCACCTCGGGCGCCATCCAGCGGTACGTGCCTAGGACTCATCATCGAACGAATCTGAATCACACACTCAATCATAGGCGCCGCCCCGCGGTGCGTGCCCGTCTCCGCCGTCAGCCAGCCGCCCGCCTTGGTGTCGTCCGGCGCGCGCGCCGCGAGCCCAAAGTCGATGATCTTGACAGTGCGCAAGCCGTCGCCGCCCACCATCACGTTGGCGCCCTTGAGGTCGCGGTGCATCACGCCGCGCGTGTGCAGGTAGAGCATCCCGTCGGCGATACCCTCCCCGACGCAGAGGGCGAACCCACGCGGCGTTGGCGACGCCAGTGCGCGCGTGAGGTCGGTGCCCTCGATGTACTCGAGCACAAGCCCGTGCGTCGGTGGCTCGAGCAGCACGCCTGGAGAAGAAACGCGCCGTGCAAGAAAGAAACACACCTGCGCGCGGTGGCTCGGGCGGCCCGCCGAGGCAGCGCACGATGTTTGCGTGCCGCAGCTTGGCCAGCGCGCGTACCTCCGTCTTCCACGCCTCGAGGTCGTTTGCCGCGCCGCCGGCTACCTTGACGCACACGTCCGCCCCCTGGTACCGCGCAAGGTAGGTGGTGCCGGACGCGCCCGCGCCGACGCGGCGCTGGAAGAGCAGCCGATCGATCGAGATGCGGATCTGCGCGAAGCCCGCGGGCAGAGGCTCGTCGAGCCGAGCGGTGGCGGCGGCGCGACCAGCGGCGGCGGCGGCGGGCGAGGGGCTGCGACTGCCGGCGGTGGCGGCGCCGAGGCGCCGGATGAGCTCCTCCTTGATCTCTTCCGCCGCCAACCGGCTTAGGCTCTCCGCCGCCTCCGCCGCCCCTCCGCCGCCGCCGCCTCCGCCGCCGCCTCCGCCGCCTCCGCCGCCTCCGCCTCCTCTGCCGCCGCCGCTCGAGAGGGCTTCGATAGTGCGCCGCACCGCCTCCTGTGCGGCTCCGTGCCTCTCGCCCGCGGCGGCCACACGGCTCATCTCTGTGTAGACGAGCAGCTGCAGCTGCTCCAGCTTGTCGAGGTGGTCCGTCATGATTTGCCTAAAGGGGAGATGTGGGGAGATCTGTGGGGGTCTGATGCTCCAGCTTGTCGAGGTGGTCCGTCATGATTTGCCAGCAGCGGTCCGCGGAGAGGGTCGCGCGCAGCGCGGCGATGTCGAAGTCGCAGCGGAGGCGCTCCTGCAGCCGCTGCAGCTCCGGCTTGAGCTCGAAGCCTGCGCGAATCAGCTCGAGCAGCTTTGGCGAGGCCGCCTGCCGCACCCGCTCCTCGAAGGCGCGCTGCTGCTGCAGCCCGATCACCAGGTCCGCAAAGGCGCGCGAAGGGAGGTGGGGCAGCGCCTGGGGGATGTTCACGGGGGGGGGGGGGGGGGGGCGTGGCGTCTCATACCCGGCTTATCACGTGTCGCACCGTGCATACACGACACAGCGGAATCGAGCGGGCAGCGGAGTGCGATCAAAGAGACCTCGTCAGGTAAGTACGTCATACTCTCATGCATACGGTGGGGCGGCACCTCCTCCGGAAGGGCAAGCGCGCCGCACAGAAAGGCGCGCTCGATGCCCGTCGCCTCCTTGAGGTGCGCGAAGGCCGCGTACGCCTTGACCGCCCGCGGGTCGAAGCTAGCCGCCGCCGCCGACGCCTCGCGCGGCGCCTCGGGAGAGGCCGGCTCGCCGGTCGCGAGCGCCACCTCGTCCGGAGCGGCGGCCAGCGCCTGCTGCAGCAGCGCGTTCCAGTCGCTGAAGACGGAGTGGAACCTCGGCGCCAGGGCTGCCACGCCGCTCAGCTCGCAGCCCGCGTCCTCACCGCCGCAGCTCCTCGCGTTTGCAACCGCCGCGTCAGCCTCGCTCCGGATGCGGGCGACGGCCTCGGCGACGGTTGGGGAAGGGCGAGCCGAGTCGGTGGCTTCGCGCACGGCCGCAATTTTGTCCTCAAACTGCGCTCCGCCGCTCGCAACCCATCCGCATGTGACTCCGCGCTCGCGCTGCACCACGTGTACCACGGCGGTCCGCCGGGCCTCCCACCCGCCGAGCCGCATCGACAGGAGGTCCGCGACGAGGCGGTGGGGAGCAAGATCCGGCGGCACGTCGAGCGGCGCGCTCTGCGCCCGCGCTCGGTTCATAGCGCAGTGAGGCACCGACGTGGGCCTTTGGGCGCAGCCTGCCGGACGCCGCTGCACCGGGCAATTGCAAGCCACCGACTGGCTGCAAGCTCGGCGGCAGCTCGGCTGCGGTGGGGCTTCGGGCGCGTGTCGCGATTGCTGCAGATGCGAGGCGCAGCCTTGCCAACCGGCGGCTCTCTGCTGGATTCGAGTCGCGGCAAGGCACCACCGAGTTACTTATTGAGCTTAGCCTTCGATGTTAATATGAAACAAACGCAAGGCGGACATGGACATATCGCTCTCGCTCGGGCCCACAGACATACATCCCGCACACCCGCCGCACACCCGCCGCCCCCCCGCGCGCCCCACCCCGGCCGGGAGAAAGGGGAGTGACAGTTTGGGAAGGACAGCCGAGTATCTTGCACTCCATGTGCAAGAACGCAGAGAGAAATGAAAGCCGTCCGGCCCCCAAGTCCGGATCACGCGCCCCGAGCTTACCATCTACCGCACTGAACACTTTCGCCCCGTCGCTCCCAACCCATCGATCCACCTCGCCGCGAGGCGCCGCGCGATCTCGGGCTATCTCGGGCTATCTCGGAGCTCCACGCCTCCCCCCCCCCCCCCCCGCCCGCCGCCGCGCCGCGCTATCTCGGGCGATCTCGGAGCGTCGCTCGCGCGGCGGCACACCTGCTCAAAAAAGGAAGGGCCCGGTTGGAGCCACGGGGCTCACGTGCTCGCTCGGTGCGCCGCCTCACTCTGCGCCACTTTGGAGGCGTTGGCGAGGGCCGGTGAGGCGGCGCCCGCGCGGCGCGTTCATCGCCCTCCACGCCGACCCCTGCGCGCACCGCGCTCATCTTCAGCCCTCTTGGGGTTACTCTCGCGCTCACGCAGGACCCAGGGGACTCCCTTCCCCCCACCTCCGACGGGTTAGGTCGGTGCTGCGCCCCTTTGGTGCTTGTGTGCATTTCCCGCGTGCCCGCCTGCCAAGGCTGATGCCAAGGCCAAATCAACAACACGCCCGGCTGATGCCAAGGCCAAACCCACTGCCCGGCTGGTGCCAAGGCTCAATGGCTCTCCTCTCCATCTCTCCCCTACTCAGACAGGACTGATCCCCACGACACACGACGCACTCTCTCCTACTGTCCGACAGACGTTGCTCGACCGACACGCGCGGGACGCCCTGACAGGACACTACTGAGACGACTACCTCTACTACCTACTCTACTACTGCTCAACTGCACTCCGGTTTGCATTTTCGTTTTGAAATCATCCAAGCATCGCAAGTGCTTTCCACCCACCAACCACAATTTGGCCTGTATACCTCAGGCCTCAGGCGCCTGCCCGCCCGGCCGGAGCAGCCCCCACGCGTCGCCGCAAGGCCGCTCGATTTGGCCGCCTTCCGCCCCCCTCAATGCTTGCCGCTCCGCGCTCGCCCCCCCCCACCCCCCTCCTCGACTGCACTCCCTTTTTAGATACATACTTTTCCGGCAAACAAAATGGAAAATAGAGGGTCCCCAGCACTTTGCGTTTCCGGAAATTTCTAGGGAAAACAGAGGGTGTTTGGTGCTCCATTCTGTTTCTCTCGAGTTTCCCTCGGGAAACTCGCGAGTTTCCCTGAGTCTGAGAGCTAGCTGGTCTGGGGCAAAATCTGGGGCAAAATTGAGGAAATCGGCAAACTACCCGGGTATTTTCCAGGTATACCCGGTGATTGTCAGGTATGTATGTAACTGTAGAGAGGACTCGGTTTGGGGAGGGCGCGAGTGGGAGACTTTTCGCGGGCGAAATGCGGCGGGTTGGATGCGTCTCCTCTTTGGGACGACCTTGTGGGACGAGTCGACCTGTGGGACGACCTGTGGCAGCGATCGATGCCGGCGCCGGACGCGGCAGCGAGGCACACAGGCGCCTGAGGCCTGACTGAGGTGCATGGGTGACCACGTGGTAGTAGAGCACATGCACATGCACATGCACGTATGAATCGTCACACCGTTCTCTCCGTTTCCGCAGGGACTTGCTATTTTTAACCTACAGTACCTCCTAGTACTACGCGGGTAGTAGAGGTGTCAGTGTTTATTCATTTAGTTCCCCGTTTGAATCTCTAGCTGGCCACCCCCTCTGGCCATCCCTTCGCCCCCTCCCTTTAGCGCACTCGGATGCGCGCGAGCCGCGTGAGTAGACGGTCGTGGTTTACTCGTCGGCTGGCTGGCCGATGGCCGGCTCATCGGTGCGGCCGTTGGAACTGCGTTGAAGCAGGCGGCGGCTGTGACTGCAGTCAGCAGTTGTCTTTCATCAGAAGGACCCAGTTTGGCGAGCCTTCCATGGCTGCGTCCTGATGGTACGGCGGGTCCATCACGCCGTAGCAGAAGCTCAGTCCCGCGTGATTTGCGTCTGCAGCGTAGCCGACGCCCACGCACTTGCCCGTGAAGCGGTTGGGATCGCTCCAGGAGTCGGTGTCGCACTTGTCCTTGCAAGCCTGGAGCTTGTCCTCAAAGGTAGCCCCGGGAGGAGTGTTGAGTTCCGCAAAATCAAAGGGAGTGTCCGCCCCTTTGTAATACGTGTCGACGTGGCTCGGGCTGCTTGCTTCCGGGTAGTTGTCGCAGGCCTCGCACTCGCCCTTCACAAAGCACACGTTGGTGGGGTGCGCGTACGTCTGAGTCTCCGTGATAGGACAGTCATCGCCGACTGCACAACGGTTCCCACTCGTTCGACTGTCATAGAACCTCCACACGCCAGACTGCGTCGCTGGTAGGCCACAATTGGTGAACTCGATCCATGGCTGGCCGGTGGCTCCATGTTCACCGTTGCACGCCATTCCTTGCAGCTCTTCGAGCATCGCCTGTCCGTTGCTGGCGTACAAGTTCGGCGAGTTATCATAGCCCGAATAGTTGTTGACATCGAAACTGGTGCAAGAGGTTAGTCTCGCACAGAGCGCACCCGCAACTTCCACCGCGGCATCGAAGTTGAGCAGCCCGCTGGCGTCATTAACCAGATTTGGAGCCTGGAGCGTAGCCGGGTGCTTGCCGTTGCTCATACAGTGGCCTGTCGTGTTCATCTGGTAGAAGCCGAGGGCATTCGGAGAACCGCTCACGGCGGCTGCGACCACCGCAGGCGGCTCACAGTAGGGCGAGGTGGAGGGCGGCGGCGACGGCGAGGTGGAGGGCGGCGGCGACGGCGAGGTGGAGGGCGGCGGCGACGGCGAGGTGGAGGGAGGCGGCGGCGACGGCAAGGAGGACGGAGGCGGCGGCGACGGCGAGGCGGACGGAGGCGGCGGTGACGGCGGCGCAGACGGAGGCGCGCAGTTGTCTTTCATCAGAAGGACCCAGTTTGGCGAGCCTTCCATGGCTGCGTCCTGATGGTACGGCGGGTCCATCACGCCGTAGCAGAAGCTCAGTCCCGCGTGATTTGCGTCTGCAGCGTAGCCGACGCCCACGCACTTGCCCGTGAAGCGGTTGGGATCGCTCCAGGAGTCGGTGTCGCACTTGTCCTTGCAAGCCTGGAGCTTGTCCTCAAAGGTAGCCCCGGGAGGAGTGTTGAGTTCCGCAAAATCAAAGGGAGTGTCCGCCCCTTTGTAATACGTGTCGACGTGGCTCGGGCTGCTTGCTTCCGGGTAGTTGTCGCAGGCCGGTGGGGGGGTTGGAGGCGGCGGCGACGGCAAGGAGGACGGAGGCGGCGGCGACGGCGAAGCGGAGGGAGGCGGCGGCGACGGCGGCGCAGACGGAGGCGCGCAGTTGTCTTTCATCAGAAGGACCCAGTTTGGCGAGCCTTCCATGGCTGCGTCCTGATGGTACGGCGGGTCCATCACGCCGTAGCAGAAGCTCAGTCCCGCGTGATTTGCGTCTGCAGCGTAGCCGACGCCCACGCACTTGCCCGTGAAGCGGTTGGGATCGCTCCAGGAGTCGGTGTCGCACTTGTCCTTGCAAGCCTGGAGCTTGTCCTCAAAGGTAGCCCCGGGAGGAGTGTTGAGTTCCGCAAAATCAAAGGGAGTGTCCGCCCCTTTGTAATACGTGTCGACGTGGCTCGGGCTGCTTGCTTCCGGGTAGTTGTCGCAGGCCGGTGGGGGGGTTGGAGGCGGCGGCGACGGCGACCGGGAGGAGTGTTGAGTTCCGCAAAATCAAAGGGAGTGTCCGCCCCTTTGTAATACGTGTCGACGTGGCTCGGGCTGCTTGCTTCCGGGTAGTTGTCGCAGGCCGGTGGGGGGGTTGGAGGCGGCGGCGACGGCAAGGAGGACGGAGGCGGCGGCGACGGCGAGGCGGACGGAGGCGGCGGTGACGGCGGCGCAGACGGAGGCGCGCAGTTGTCTTTCATCAGAAGGACCCAGTTTGGCGAGCCTTCCATGGCTGCGTCCTGATGGTACGGCGGGTCCATCACGCCGTAGCAGAAGCTCAGTCCCGCGTGATTTGCGTCTGCAGCGTAGCCGACGCCCACGCACTTGCCCGTGAAGCGGTTGGGATCGCTCGGAGGCGGCGGCGACGGCGACGCAGACGGAGGCGGCGGCGACGGCGACGCGGACGGAGGCGGCGGCGACGGCGACGCAGACGGAGGCGCGCAGTTCTCCTTCATCAGAAGGACCCAGTTTGGCGAGCCTTCCATGGCTGCGTCCTGATGGTACGGCGGGTCCATCACGCCGTAGCAGAAGCTCAGTCCCGCGTGATTTGCGTCTGCAGCGTAGCCGACGCCCACGCACTTGCCCGTGAAGCGGTTGGGATCGCTCCAGGAGTCGGTGTCGCACTTGTCCTTGCAAGCCTGGAGCTTGTCCTCAAAGGTAGCCCCGGGAGGAGTGTTGAGTTCCGCAAAATCAAAGGGAGTGTCCGCCCCTTTGTAATACGTGTCGACGTGGCTCGGGCTGCTTGCTTCCGGGTAGTTGTCACAGGCCGGCGGCCCGGACGGCGGTGGTGGCGGCGCTACAAGTACCGGCGGCGTGGGAGTTGGAGCGGTAGGTGGTGGCATCTCTGGTGGAGACGGCGCTGGAGCCTCCTTGCACTTCTTCTTCTCGCTCTTCCTGCCAGGAGCGTCCACAGGCCGCCGTCCGTCCGGCGCCTCTCGCTCGATCCCGGACCACGTCCCGCGCACGATCTTGCGCCTTGGGACGTAGAAGACGCGGCGGTTGAGGTACTGCTTGACAAGGTACATGGCGTACAAAAAGGTGAGCATCATCAGCGTCAAAAAGATGGCGGTGGGCATGTCTCGCACCTGGACACACGAGTCAGGAATTTTTGACCGGTCCGGTGCCGGGGTCAGGACAGAGGGCCTCTCGCGGGCGATACGGGCACAGCTATTCACGCATGCAATGGCGCTTACCGCGTTGATTTTGTTGCCGTGCTCAAAGGACGACGCCCAGTGGTGCTGATAGCCGCCCAGCCCGCCTGCGTGGGAGCGAGTGGTGCAGGGCGCCGCTCGCCGACGGTGCGCCTCGCACGCGCATACCGTGCCTGGGCGTGGCGTGTGGTGGCACGCGCGCGTGCGCTCCAGCGGGCGGGAGGCAGGCGCACTCGACAAGTGGAGAGGCGGCCTCGAGGCAAAGTTCGGGTCAAAGTGCTTGACAGACTGGCCAAACTTTGCCCAAAAGAAGAGGATGGCGCAGACGACGAACGAGGTCACAGAGACCGCTCCGAGAGAAACCACCACCTCAAACTCGCGCTCGACCTGCGGCCACTTCAGCGGGGGCCGTGAGAGGGATCGACTCGCACGCGTGTACCTGATGCGAGGTTTGGGCCGCGCCAGGTCAACGCAGGCCGAGTAGTCCACGTGGTGGCCATGCAGCGCGGCGCCTGGCGCCTGGATCAGTAGGCGGACGCGTCACGGACGCGTCACGGACACGTCTCGGAAAAGCGTCTCGGATGTCTGGCCCTCGCCTGCGTCACCAGGAGGACGCAGCCCCACATGGTGATGATGGAAGCGCCGAGCGCAATGCAGGTGAAGAACGGGTAGGTCAGCTCGGCGCAGAACCCCTCGTGCGTGCCGCAGAGGTTGTGGTCGATGTACTTGGTGTACAGCAGACCGGCGTGCCCGAGTCCGGCGAGCACCGTCGCCAGCGTTCCGATGGTCCGGATCCGGTCGAGGAAGAGATCAAACTCGCGCTCTCGGATCTGGAGCATCCGCACGCGTAGCGAGGACTCGACATTGAGCTTGTCCGCCACCAGCATCGGCGATGCGCGGCCAATGCGGAAGGCCAGACAGGGTCCTGACAAGTGCTGCCTGCGCAGGAGGCAATCGGCGCGCCGCGGCAAGCGCTTCGCCGCCTTGAAGGCGGGCGCGTTTCGACGAAAACTGAGGTTTTCTTTTCGCAGTGGACTATATTGTACCTGTGCGAGGTCTCTTGGAGCAGAGCCCCGCGAGTCCTCGAAAGAGCCTCGGAGAGGGTACCCTGGGTGGGCGGGGCCTCTACTCGCCAGGTACCTGTGTTAGGGCCAGCCTTTTTTTAATTCTTTTCGCCGTTTTGTGCCAGCCGCTCTGGCCCGCGGGGGGAATTCTTTTCACCGAGGGCCTCAAAGAACTCGGACATGCGATCCACTCTCCTTGGATCACCTGCATCAGGGCGCTGGAAGCAGAATTCTCTTTGCACTGGAGGCGTCCACCGCCTATGTTTTTTATGGCGTCCAGCACGCCACTCGACTCGTCGGTCACCCAGGGCTTGGTGGCCGAGCGCAAGCGGCGCGGTGTTGGAGGCTCGCAGGCGGCCACTGAGGTGCCAGTCCTCTCGCTGCGCCGCTATTTTGAGGGCACCGCCGACGGAAAGGCGGCCGTCGCGCGCGATTGGGACGAGGCGTGTCGCAAGGTGGGCTTTGTCACCGTGGTCGACCATGGCGTCCCGCGCGACGTGATCGACGCGTGCTGGGAGGAGACGACCTCCTTCTTCGACCGGCCGCTGGCTGAGAAGGCGGCGGTGCCGACGTCCTCGGACTACCCGTACGGCTACATCGGGATGGGGATGGAGAACCTGCAGGCGTCGCTCGATGAGACGAGCCGCAACCCGGGCGACATCAAAGAGATGTTCAACATTTGCTTTGGCACGGCAGAGCCGGACCCCGACAAGCCGGCGCCGCGCTGGCCTGCGCAGTCCGTCGGGATGCGGAGGGCGTGGCAGGCGTACGACGCGGCGCTGGCGAGGCTGTCGGAGGCGCTCTACGCTGTGATGGCCCTCGCGCTCGGGCTGCGCGAGGATTGGTTCGCCGACAAGGTCAACCGTCACCGCAACGTGATTCGTGCAATCAACTACCCAGAGCTGCGGACGCCGCCGCTGCCGGGGCAGGTGCGTGCGTCTGTCCATACCGACTACGGATCGCTGACCATCCTGCGGCTTGGCGGGAGATACGCGGGCGGGCTGCAGGCGATGGGCGCCTCGGGCGAGTGGGTCGACGTCGCACCACGCGGGCAGGACTGCTTCGTCATCAACCTTGGCGACTTGATGGCGCGCTGGACCAACGACCGGTGGCTCTCGACGCCGCACCGCGTGGTCAACCCGCCGCAGGCGCTCGCGGCGACCGCGCGCCGCCAGTCCATCGCCTACTTTTGCAACGTCAACATGGACGCGCGCGTCGAGTGCATCCCGACCTGCGAGGGCGGGCGCGCGAAGTACGCGCCGATCGCCGCCGGCGAGTGGCTGATGCGAAAGCACGCGCAGACGGTGGCGGGGCAGCTCTGCTACGCGGTGGAGGAGGGGGGCGGGGAGGGGGGGGGAGCCGACGCGCCGTGCGGAGAGGCGGCGAGGGGCGTCGCCGAGGACGACGCGGGCTGTTCCGTCTCCCTGTGCCCCGAGAGCCCGCAGAGGCCTCTCCGTGATGGCGTTTGAAAGCCCACCCCCGGAGCCCGGAAGGGCCCCGGTTCCGGGAGATTTTCAATAAAATAGCGCCGCCGCGCGCGCCGCAAGGGCTTTTGTGCGCGGTGATCGTGACAGAGGTGTCCTTACACAGAGAGTCTTAATTTTACGTATGAAGATCGAGATACTGACCGGTACTCTCTCTATGTGTACGTTGTACGTGAGGACCTTACCTTACGTGAGGAGTCGCCCGCAGCTCGGTTCGCGACGATGCATAAGTACGTGGTCCAGACACACGAGGCGAGGTTGCCAAAGAGCACCATGCACTGTGGCGGCACGAAGCGGAAGTTGACCGTCTGCACGACAGTCCAGTACGCGTTCCCACGCACGAGCGTCGGCAGCAATTCGGCGGCAAGCTTGCGGCGGAGCGCAGCCCACTTGGCGGCCCACCAGACTGAGAGCGCAAAGCCGAGAGCGCGAACATTGAGTTCGTGGTAGCCGATGCGACCGCGCTTCTTCAGGTCGAATCGGTCGAACGCCTCCGAAGACTGTGCCGGAGGCGGCGTGCGCGTGAGCACGGTGAAGGCAAAGAACGCGGCGGAGAGCGCGGGGGCCATCACCAGCTGGTTAACAAGGACCTTCTGGGCGAGCGCGATGCCGCTGTGGCGCGCCTCCGGAAAGAGGCGCGAGAGGAGGTCGAACCACAGCGCGTTGGCCCAGCCGGAGAAGATCACGCCCCACACAACGATCCAGCGAGTCCGAGCCCAATCCCACGCCTCTCCGCCCTTGCGCGTGAGCGACTGCGCGATGCCGTCCGCAGCCACCGCCACCACTGCCGCCGAGGCGCCCTTCGTCGCAAGAGGCGCGGCCGAGAGCGCGCGCGTGTACGCCGCGAGCAACGCCGCAGCCCCGCCGCCGCGCAGCACGAGCAGCGGCGCCGCCGCCGACCTCGCGCCTTCGGACACGTCCTCAGAGCATGTCACAAGCGGCGGCGCTGGACACCGCCGCAGAGCACAGCAAACCGACAAGACTCACGGACGGGGCGGTGGCGCTGCACTTGGCGGCGCGCGAGACACAGCCGAGCAGCAGCTCCGAACGGATCCAAACAGATCCGAACGCCGGCCGTGGCAAGAGGCGGCGCCGCCACCCCCCTCGCAGCGCCAAGGCGGCGCCGAGGCTGTCCCTCCTCCCGCTCTCCCCGCCACCGCCTGCGCCGCCGCCGCCGCCTCCGAGCCGCACCACGCTGCCGTCGCGCCGCACCTCGAGGGCCTGCGGCGCTCCGCCGCCCATCGCCTAGAGATTCGAGGAGTTCACGATGTGTGTGTGTGTGTGTGTGTGTGTGTGTGTGTGTGTGTGTGTGTGTGTGTGTGTGTGTGTGTGTGTGTGTGTGTCGCTCCCGTGTGACCGTCTCCCGCTCCACCCATCGCCTCTCTCTCTATTGATTGCCCGCGAGAGGCCGACATCGATTCGCCACACCCGACGGTCGCACGCGGCGTTGATGCCCTCCTGAGCGGAGCTCCACAGCCTCAGCGAATCTCGGCGAACCTCTCGGCGAATCTCGGCGAATCTCGGCGAACCTCTCGGCGAATCTCGGCGAATCTTGGCCAATCTCTCGGCGAACCTCTCGGCTAGTCTCGGCGCTCTTCCTGGACGGTGTGGCCAACCACCAGCCGACTCGCGCCGAGCGCCGTGAGCGCCGAGCCTACCTCATCGCACGCGTCGCCAGCCGGAGCCGCGACACCGAGCTCGCGCCTTCAGGTCATGTCCACGACATTTCCAGGGACGTGTCCGAGACCTGTCCGGAGCCGCCACGCCGAAACTCGCGTCCATACGGGGGAGCGGCCGCCCACAGCCGACGGAAGCAGCAGCGGCGGTGGCAGAGGCTCGTCGCCGCTCAGCCAGCGCGCAGCGGCGGTGTTGGCGGCGGCGGCGCGAATCGGAGTGGCAACCTCTGGCGTCAGACCTGCATGGACGAAGCAAGTGTCGCCCACGACGCAGATCACCGGCCAGCCCGCCAGCTCGCGCGCCAGGGCGCCGCCCGGACGGAAGGCGAGGGAACGCGGCTCGCCTACGATCCCGGGCCCAAACCTCGGTGAATCTCGCGCAATCTCGGGGAGGACGGGACGGCACCGCCATGAGCGGCGCGCCGAAGGCGGTTGCGCCCGCCTCCGAGACGAAGGACGTGACTCCGCACGCGTTGAGCACCTCGTGGTTGCCGAGGAGCGTCACGACACGACCGCCGGCGGCAGCAGCCTGCATCTTGAGGCTTCGCAGCAGCGCGAGGCACTCTGCTTCTTGCGGGCCGCGGTCTAGCACGTCGCCGCACTGCACGAGCACGGCGTCGCCTCCAGTCCATCTGGCCGTCGCGTCGACCAAGCCAGCAGTGCGGAGCACGTTGACAAAGGCGTCGCAATCGCCGTGGAGATCTCCGACGGCCACGGTCCGAGACGGAGCTGGGAGGCGTATCCTGTCCACGGTGCTGGGCTCTGCAGCCGGGCTGCGCGTCGAGAGGAGCAGCGCCGGGAGAGCGGCCGAGAAAGCGCGGCGCGGGACGAGCATTTTGCCCTAAGTGTATTTCTTTTTTCGCAAATTTGCGAAACAGGCGCTCACCTCCGCACCTTGTTTTCTTATTTATAATCGCGCATTCTTCACACGGCCAGACCTGGACCCCCCCGGGACATTCGACCCATCTTTTTTCGCTTCGCTGCGCGCCTGGACATAGGTAGCGAAATGAGTCCCCCTATCCGGCTAGGAGCCGGAACCCTGCGCGCGCTTGGCGGTAGGGGAGAACGCGAAGCTGGAGAACGCGAAGCTGCGTCGCGCCCCATTGGCGGCATGAGCCCAACACAGCTGCCCGACCTGGCGGTGGGCGACCTGGCCGCGCTGCGAGCCTTCCTCTCCGGGCGGCGGACGCGCGGGACGCTCGACGCGCGGCTCGACACCGACACGCAAGACACGCTTCTCACCTGGGCCGCTCGGCACGGGCAAGCGGAGGCGGTGCGGCTGCTGCTCGAAGCCGGCGCGATCGTTGGGGCGACTGATGGGGGCGGCGCTCCCGCTCTTCTTCTTGCGTGCGAGAGGGAATGCCTCGAGTGCGCCGGGCTGCTCCTCGAGGCCAATGCGGCGGTCGACCAAGCTGCTGATGGCGGCTTCACGCCGCTGTACGTAGCGTGCCAGAAGGGCCACGTCGAGCTCGCCCGGCTGCTTCTCGAGGCCAACGCGGCGGTCGGCCAAGCCAATGAGGACGGCGCCACGCCGCTGCTCATCGCGTGCCAGCAGGGCTACGTCGAGATCGCCAGGCTGTTGCGCGACGCTGGCGCGGCGGTCGGCCAGGCCGACGAGGACGGCGCCACGCCGCTCTTCGCTGCGTGCCAGAACGGCCACGTCGAGTGCGCCCAGCTGCTTCTCGAGACCGGCGCGGCGGTCGGCCAAGCACGCAACGACGGCGCCACGCCGCTGTACGTCGCGTGCTTCAAGGGCCACCTCGACATCGCCCGGCTGCTCCTCGAGGCCAGCGCGGCGGTCGGCCAAGCCAACGAGGACGGCGTCACGCCGCTGTACATCGCGTGCCAGCAGGGCCACGTCGACATAGTCCGGCTGCTCCTCGAGGCCAACGCGGCGGTCGACCAAGCCCGCAACGACGGCTCCACGCCGCTGTTCATCGCGTGCCAGGAGGGCCACCTCGACATCGCCCGGCTGCTCCTCGAGGCCAACGCGGCGATCGGCCAAGCCCAGAACCAAGGCGTCACGCCGCTGTACATCGCGTGCCAGAACGGCCACCTCGACATCGCCCGGCTGCTCCTCGAGGCTGGCGCGGCGATCGGCCAAGCCGATGAGGAAGGCGTCACGCCGCTGCTCGCTGCGTGCCACAACGGCCACCTGGAGGTCGCCAAGCTCCTCTCCTCCTACGGCGCCTCCCGCGCCGCGGTGCCGCCCTTCGGCACGCCCGAGGAGATCGCAAACCGCAAAGGCCACGCCGACCTCGCCGCCTGGCTGGTCGCCAGCCGCGGCTGGACGCCGCTCGCGCACCTCGAGAGCCTCACCGCCGCCCGCGCCACCTCCCTCCTGCGCAGCGGCGCAAGCCTGCACGAGGGCGAGCCGACGCCGCTGCAGCGCGCCGCGGGCGGCGAGGGCGAGGCGGCGGCGCTGATCCGGCGGGCGGCGGCGCCGTGGTCGCCGGCAAGCCACTCGCTTTTCCCCGCGGCGGCGCGCGCGCGGGCGGCGCTCCTCGTCGTCTCGCTCTACGAGATCCACGAGCGGCACCATCTCGACTCGGCAGGAAACACGAACGGCATCGCGGCGCTCGACTTTGTCGCGTGCGTGCTGCGCTTCGCGATCACGCGCGAGGCGGAGTAGGGGAGCTGGCAGCTACTGCTCGCCGTTGACTCGGTTGTCATGTCGTGTGAGTCCTTTGCTGTTTGCAGGAGCTCTCCTCTGTCCACGTGGAGAGCTCTTTCTTTCTTGTATTTTGCTTTTTGGTGATATGACATATGTGGGTGCGGGTCTTTTCGTCTTATGCGGCGCCTGTGAGTCACGCGAGTCCCGAAAAGCAAAACTCTAATCTCTAGATCTAGAAACTCTCGAGCGTCTGGGTCAGAGTGAAGCTTGGCTCTCACGGCCCACACACACGCCCATCCCCCGCGCCCGCGCCCACGCCGCCCGCGGCCGCGCACCCCCCTCTCGACACACAAGCCCCCCCTCCCATCCAGCCACTCCCTCGTCCCTCCACGCGCGGCACAGCTTGACCGCGACAGCACCACCCTCCCATCGCCAAAGCCCGGCCAGTAGCTCGGCCGGCTGTCTCGTCGAGCTGTCTCGCGCGTCTAGCCCTCGCTCGCCTCATATGATCCGCCTGCTCGCCGCGGCGGCGTTGAGCCGCGAGATCTCCGCCTCGCGCTCCGCAATCGTGCTCTTCGCGAGGGCGAGCTGCCGCTCCGCCTCGACGAGCAGCCGCTTCATCCGCGTCACACGACTCGTCGGCACCTTCTCCTCCCCAGTGGCGCCCGCCCCGTTGGGCGCCGCCCCGTTCGGCGGCGCCGCCGCCCGCGTCGCGGCGGCGGGCGGGCCGCCTCCGGCCGTGTCGGCGGTGTCGGCCGTCTCCGGCACGTCGCTGCTCCCGTCCGCGCCGTCCTCCCCGCCCAACGCCTTGGCCGCCGGCTCTGTGCGCGCGAAGGCGGTCCCCGTGTCGGCTCCGAGGGCGGAGGAGGCGGCGCGGGTGGCGGCGGGCGTCTCGAGAAGGCCCCACAAGTTGGACGTCGACGGCGTGGCGGCGGTCTGGCCGAGCTCGATCCGGCGCAGCTCCTCGGGAGAAAACTCGAGGAAAGAGCCGATGACGGGCAGCGCCGCCACCAGCCCGTCCGGCCCGCGCTCGGCCGCCGCGATGATCGCGTTGCGCAAGTACTGCGTGTTTGTGTGCAGCCGCTCCTGCGCGTGAAGCAGCCGCGCCTGCGCCGCATTCTCCTCGGCCAGCTCCGCCTCCTTCATCGCCCACTGCCGCCGCGCCTCTGTCGCGCCGCGGAGGCGCGCCTCGAGTGAGGCCGCGCGCCCCTTCCAACGCTCGAGCTCGCGCGACGCGATCGCCTGTCTCATTCAGAAGGCCATTCTGATGACTGCCATCAAAGGACTAGCTGGGCTCGGGCTCGCGTGACGCGTTCACCTGCTGCCGCGCCGTCGCCAGCAGACGGGCGGCGTCGGCGCCACCGTCGGGCGCCGCGCCGCCCTCCGCCGCCGCATCGCCGCTGGCGAGGCTGCCAGAGGAGCCGCCGCCACCGTTGGCGACGAGGGGGGGCGCGAGGGGCGCCGCCGCGTCGAGCCTGCGGCGGGTGCGCAGCGAGCAGGTGCGGTAGCGCAGGACGGCGGTGCTACGCACCCCTGCCTCGCACCCCTGCCTCGCACCCCTCCCATCGCGCTGTGCGGGGCACTGTATCGCACTCCTCCCCTCTAGGGGCGTCGGCACCCCATTTCCAGGCTCGGCTGCGGGCTCAGCGGCGCCGCCCACGAAGGCAGCGGGCTCAGGGGAGGCGGCGCCTGGGCTCTGGGGCAGGGCTGGGGTGAGGTTCGGGATAGAGTGCAGCGGGCTCAGGGGAATTGCGCCGTCGTTGGCATCGCATCGCGCAGCTGCCGGTGCACCCGCCGCAGCTCCGCGTCCTTTGAGACGAGCATGGAGCGGAAGCGGTGCTTGGCGAGCAGCACGTCGCGCCTGGGTCGGTCCGAGAGGAGCTCACTCATCCCGAGTCATCCATCAAGAGAGCTTGGCAAACAGCAGGTCGCGCCGCGAGTCGGCGCGTGCAGCGGCCAGTGCCCGCTCCCTCTCCGCCTCGGCGCGCTGCAGCGCCGCCCGCAGCTCGCCCTCGCTCGCCGCGCCCGCGTCGCCGCCGCCGCTTTGCAGCGCCGAGGCGGAGAAGGGGTTGAAGGTCGACCGCAGCGCGCTGCCGTGCGGCATGCCTCGCTCCGCCTCGAGCACCTATTGAGAGAGAGAGAGAGACGGGCTCGCGAGCGAGAGGAGGGCAACGATGGCGCCTCCATCTGCAGCACCTCGATCGCAACCTCCGTCCGCTGCAGCTCGAGAGAGAGGGTCGCCTCCAGGGCGAGGCACTCCAGCGCGACCGCCTACGGAAAGAAGAAACGCGATGCGCCGCGAGAAGAGAAGCCACCCGTCCCGCTCGAGCGCGACCGCCTACGAAAGAAAGAAAAGCGGTCCGCGCGAGGAAAGGAACCATACGAAGCGCTCGAGGCGCGAACGCCTCCGCCGCTGACCGCCCGCCGCCGTTGTGTCCCTCGTCGTTCGCGTCCGCCGCGCCCTCGCCCGCCTCCGGAGCCTTTCGCTTGGGTGCGGCCGCGGCGTGTGCGGCGGCCCTGCGACGGAGCTCGTCGGGTGATCTCGGGTGATCTCGGGTGATCTCGGGTGGTCTGGGGTGATCTCGGGTGATCTCAGGCGATCTCGGGTGATCTGGGATCTCGAGTGATCTCAGGCGATCTCGGGTGATCTCAGGTGATCTCGCGCTCCTGCGGCGGAGCTCCGACGCGCGGGCCTCCTCGATCGCGAGCGCCGTCTCCCGCTCCGACACCGCCGCGGCAGCCTGCGTCACCTCGCGCGAACGAGTGCTGAGCGCCGCCTCTCTTGCGGCCAGCGCCTGATGATGCGGAGCAATGACAGCTGAGAGCGGGCCTCCGTCGGTCAGCACTGCTCGCGGACTCCCAAACAGCTAGCGCCTCCTCTGTCGCGGCCGCCGTCTCGGCCGCCGCCGCCGCCGCCGCCGCCCGCTCCTCGATCGCCTCCTGACGCCGCCGCAGCGCCTCGCCCGCCTGCCTCAGCTGGCCCTGCTGAGCCTCCAGCCACTGCCGGTTCGCCACCAACGCCGCCTCGAGCGCCGCCGCGTCGCTGCCGCCGCTGCCGCCGCCGCCACCGCCGCCGTCGCCTCCGCCGTCGCCGCTGTCGGCGAAGTCGCCGAAGCCATCACCCTCCTCGTACTCGCGCCGGCGCAACCGCTCCTCCTCCAGCGCCGCATCGGACGCCTCTGCGCGCTGCACCGCGGCGGCCGCCTCCGCCGCCGCTCCCTCAGCAACCTCGGCCAGCTCCGCCGCCCGCGCCTCCGCCTCGGCCACGAGAGCGCCGAGGCGCGCCTCCTCCGCCGCAGCCGCCGACCGCAGCTCCGCCTCGCGCGCCTCCGCCGCCTCCGCCGCCGCCACGAGCTCCTCGGCGGCGGTTGGTGCGCGCGTTGGCGACGCTCTGCTTGGCCTGAGGACCAAAAGCCGGTCCACCGTGGGCAGCGGAGGGACGGTTCACACAAGGGGCGCTCTCCTGCCCCGCCTGGTGCTGCGCGTTTCCCTGCCCGAGAATGCCAGCCTTGCCGGGCCGCCTCCGCGGCGGACGCGTGTCTAGAAAGGTTCCGGAAGGGTACCTTAGAACAGCTCCTATTTTGCCTCCTTGAGGAACCCCTTCGCAGAAGGATGCGCCTCCGCTCACCTAGTGAGAGCCTCTGGACCCGAAGGGGCGTCGTATTGCTTGCTTGCCCCGCCCATCCTTTTCCTCGGGCGCTTCTTCCCTCGACGGACAACTCAACGACGGCCCTTCCTCACTGGAAACTGTGCAGAAT